CATCTTCGCTCCCGTTTACGCGTTCGCGCGGCGGCCTCTTCCCTCTTTCTCCGCCGCGCTCGACGTCGCGCGAGCTTTCTCTCTCTTCCTTGACTTCGTTCGACGGCCGCGACCGCGATCAAACGGCGCGCCGGGTATTTTTGGTCACCGGTCGGACGCCGGCCACGGTTAAAATCCAGGGTCTCGGCTCCATCGGGCGGAATCGAACGGCGAACCTTGACTTTGACCGGCGATGTGACGCGCGACGCGTTCAACGATCCGGTCGCCGGCTCCTCGGTGGGGGGACCGATCGATTCTTTCGATTAATCGGGGTTATGAGAGAGTCTGATGGCCTCCTCGCGAGAGCCGGCTTCTCTGGCGGCGCGCCGCTTCGGTTCGAATTGGATTTTACCGGAATTCTGATTGGCAGCCGGATTGCAGATTGATCTTTACTCGTCTATCCTTATTCCCGAATACTTCGCGCCGGCTGTGATCAGTCTTCCGATGATCCGAGACCTGTAATTTGAAAACCTGATCCTCGTAACGGAAGAATTTCATTGACTTTGCATCGAGATTCCGTGTAGATCCTCGAGAACCTCTAGAATTGCATTTTCTTCGACCTAAAAGAGCAGCACTAGCATCCTCTAGTCACTGGCAAATAAATTAACTCCTGAATAAAACCATTGCAGATCTTGACTAACATCCTTCCAATCAATTCCCGGAAACCTCCAACAGTTAGTAACAATTGCATTCGAAGTTCGCAAACAACCGATCGCTCTTCTATCATTAACGCGGCGAGAGTCTCTAAAAGCAACCGGCAGGATAGAGGGTAGTTTTTCAGAAGAACGAGCAGGTCGTCGGGTAATATCCCTGAAATATTCATTGGGTGGAGCCTTGGGCAGCGAGCGGTAATGGCGCCGCTATTAGCGGACACGGGGGTGGGCCGGTTGCGCCTTTAGCGAGCCGCTAAATTGCCAATAATGTGGACACGCTGGAAAATTCAGTCCGCGGAAAAGTCGACGCGGATCGGTCGGCGTTGAATTTACACTCGCCGCGTCTGCCCCTCCGGGCGCGACGCGGAGTCCTCGTCCCAGGCCGTGGAAATAATTCATTTAGAAAACGAGGGGCCCCGAAACCCGCTCGAATTTGCGACACGCTGTTTGCGCTGGCTCGCGGAACGCGCGCGACAACCCTTTTATCGTGCGCGCAGAGTTCGTTTGCCCGGCGACGGCCGTGCCTCGAATCGCAAACATCCGTGGACGCGAATTTTTCGGAAATAACACGTCCTATCGGCGATGGACGGCCGCCGCGGCCGGCGGGAGGGCGGCGCGCGCGGGCGCCGGTGTTTTCCTCGTTAAACGTTTTCCCGCGTTTAATCTGTTGCGTTATGGGGGAAACACAGGCGCGGCCGGGCGGCGGCTGATGAATTTAAATACGCTCGCGGCCGCCGGTCACTGTTTGCAGAATTTCAAATAATATTTCGCTTTTGGCCGGGTTAACCGTGCTTCGACGGCGCTCCGCTCGCGCGAGCTGCCCCGATCGTTTCTTTCCTGGTGATCGTAACTTTCGGCAGCTGTTGGATTCCTTTGTTCGTTCTCCGAGGAGCGATGATTGTACATTAAACTCAGTTACTATCTAAGTTTAAAGACTCTCCTATTCCGATTCCTATTTTCTAGTTACTCTCATCTGAAAAGCACTGACATCAAGTAGCTAGTCTCTCTCCTCAACTATATCAAACCCTCAGAATCAGTGCGCTAATCAATCCTCTTCATTCTCCGAGGAACGATGATTGTAGCTTTAAACTCAGTTACTATCTAAATTTAAAGACTTTCTCCTATTCCGATTCCTATTTTCTAGTTACTCATCTAAAAAGCACTGACATCAAGCTACTATTCTCTTTCCTCAACTATATCAAACCTTCGAACCATTGCCCTAATCAATCCTCTTCAAAACAATCTTCCAACGAAAACCCTAACCTAATTGCTTGCTACCCTCACCTAGCTCCACACCCCATCTGCCAAAATCATCACCGCGTTGCAACTTCGTCCCGAGAAAAACTGTGTCCACGAGTATCAAGCTGGCGAGCGATAGCGAGAGCACCGGTGTCGCGTGAAACGAGCACTGTTCCACGTCGGTGGCAGGAAATATCGGCCGTTCAAGGTCACCGATCCCCACCATCCGTCAGAACATCCCAGTCCGCGGCGCGTGTTTTCATCCGTTGGTGCGCTCACCGAATATCGGTTCGCCTTTTACAGATGCCTCGTCCTCGAACGAAGCGGTGCACCTACAGCAGCGTCTCAGGAGCCTGAGCACGGAACTGGTGACCCTGAGGAACCGGCTGCACGTGAGCCAGCCGCCGAACAACAATTCAGGGCCGAACGGCGGCACCTCGGCGCCCCTGTCCAAGAGCCCGGAAAAGGGCTGCGTGCCGTCGTCCCCTGCTCCGGCGGTGCCGCCGAGGACGACGATACCATTGGCGGCGACGCTGCCGCACGGCCTCGGCCATCCGTCCGGGCACACGTTGACGGCGTCCGCGATCGTTCATCCCCATGTGAACCACGCGGCCGCCAACACCCTCGGCCACAACGCCACGGCGCCGAGCAATCTGATATCTGGTCAGTATGCGACTGTAGTTCTAATTTAACATAACGTAGCCACGATTCTATATAATTCATTTGTCCGAGCCGATTTGTACGGGTTTACGGCAGGGTTCAGAAGCACAGCTATTTTTGAGAATTCGTTAACTTAGTTTTTTTTGCCATCCGGACGACACTCGGATGGTACGCTCTTTACAATTTTTACTCTTTTGTCATAGCGTTTGTGGATACCCTTAGTTTCTTGCGCGTATTTTCCGTTCGTCTCGATAGTTATTGCTCTGTTGTAAACCTTCACGGCCTGAGCATGTGACAAAAGACGATCTGGTAAACTACGAAGGGAGAACAGTGGAAGCAATTGTTTCTCTAAAAACAGCATCGATATATATTCCTAGACAAACATCGGAATGATAATCACGCGTACGCGACAGCGGCCAGTAAAGTGTTAACAAACAGACCAGTGTGTTTCTTTCTAAATCCCTGCCACTGTCTATTATTATGACTAGCAACAGTTTCCCTCTCCAATAACCGAACCCACGCAACGAAACCGGAGGCCCCGACGGGAACTCGGGATTACGGGCCTCCGAAAAAGCAGGAATAATAATTCCCGAAAAACAGCTTTCCCGGGGATCGAGTCGGGAGCCGTTCACGTGAATTCGGGTTCATCGATATTTCACCGCAGCCATCGTCATCGCATCATCGCCTCTTTATCCGCCACGGTTACCGTTCCGCCCGATATTACAGATGGAAATTG